CTTGGTCAACTTAGAGATTTATCAGTTATATTATTTTTATTCAAATAAATAATTTGTTTTCATTTATTTTTCTCTTCTATTTCAGCTCTTTACTGTTTCTTTGCATGTATTTTCCTTTTTCACTTTTTTAAATGGAAGCTTATACTATTGGTACTTAATCTTTTTATTTGCAATGTAAGTATTGACATCTATACATTTTTCTCTAAGAACTGTTAGCTGCATCCCTAAAATTTTGATATATTTTGTTTTCATTATCATTCAGTTCAAAATATTTTATAATTTCATCTTTAATTTCTTCTTGGATCCATGGCCTTTTTAGAAGTTTATTTTATTTGGAAAGCTGTCAAAATATAACTTAGGAAACTGTTAAACACTATTTTTGTTTACAATTAGGACAGAAAGCATGTTTGGAATATCAAATACAGTTGGAAGGTAGCCTCAGGAGTGGGTCAATATACACTCCCATATTATATGGTATATATTACTATATTTATAATACACTGGCATATTATAAGTCTAGGAAGATAATATTTTTGAATTAGATTTTGGTAAGGTCAACCTTGAAGGAGAGTGTAGGTCACAATATACTATCATTAGCACTTCGAATCATCTCTTAGTTCTATTTAAGCCCCTCCTCCCCCTTTGCTAAGCACCAAAACATTTAAGATTCCATATAAATGTATATATACATGTAATATATATATATATATATATACACACACACACGTGAAATATATGGAAGGAAATGCATAAATTCATCAAACATTTATTGAGGGCCTTTTTGTCAGCCACAGGGTCAATAAAAAATTGAATATCAGTTTAACATTGACTCTTGATGTAGACCTATTGTTGGTTTTGACTTTGGTTCACATCCTTTTATTGAATTTATTACGTGCTGTAAAAGAGGCATACGTTTATGGAATTATTTCAAGAAACATGTATTTTCCTTATGTTAGCAAGTTTATGTGATGAAAAGTAAAATCCCTTTTTATAATTATTTATTACAATCAATGCCAACAAGATCCATTCATTTTGTGTATATTCATAATATACTTAAAAATCTAAGTGAGGTAATTAATTTTAAAACTAGATTTTGATTGATAAGGTCAGCTTTCAAATCCAGTTAAAATAGTATTGTTGGTGCATCAAATTATCTTTTGGTTCTATTTAAACCCTTCCTCCCTGCTACTTAGCACCAAAACATATAAGATTCCATATACTTTTAAATATATTAAAATTTATGTCATCATACAATCATTTTTAGCTCATCTCCAGCTTGAAGCCAGGAGTGCTTTCTCTTCCTCTGACCCAGGCACACTGAACCTCCAGTGCCAACAAAATCACCTGTCTCTATGAGGACCGGCCAGCCCTCATCTGTGGGCAATAGCACTGCCCTTTCTAACCTCAGCAGTGCTCAGCAAGGCTGCAAACACCCTGGGGTTGTTTTTTTTTAAGAGAAACAATGCGATCAGGAAGCAGAAATTCAAGAGAACTGGTGTATTTCCTCCCCGGTGGTTGCTAAAACTACTCTGAAGCAAACAAAATTGGACTGAGAGATACTGTCTGAGAGTCAATGTCTTCTTCCCTCACAAACCCTCTCCTGGGAGCATGAGGTTTAGAAGCAGGAAGTCTGGCTGCCACTGTAGAAGCAGTAGATAATCAGGTGTGTATGAAGTACCACCCAGCAGAGTTCAAAACCTCACTGGGCTACTCAGTGGCCTCACACCTTAGGCCAGTCCTGCAATTTCTCCATCAGGGCTGTGGTTTCTCCATCTGGAAAGCAGAGAGAATCATAGAGTTTATCTCGCAGCACTTCTGTGAAGCTTAATGAGCTAATATTTGTACTTAGCAAGTACCTGGAGACCTACCTTAGCTACAGAAGTCAGCACCATTGCTTCTTCAAAAGCAGCAATTTAAGAGACACTTGAAAATCTAAGAGCTCCTTTAAGGAGAGGATTTCTCCACTGTTAGGTGTACCACAAGAACAGGTGCAAACAAACTGGGGGTAAAGTGACATTGCTGACATGCTTCAGCCAGAATGGAAAGGTGAGGGGGCCTGGATCATGTTTGTCAAAGACCAGAAAATCAACTTCTTGTTGGCCTGTGGTTTGTTCTGAGAAGGACCATAAATAAGATCACCGTCTTGGACTTTGAACACTAAATCGAATGAGCTGTTAACTTCTTCCACGTAGTCTCAGGCAATCTGGAAAGCACTTACTAGTGGTTTCCTTTAAAGACAACGTCACAATTCATAAACTTCTTTGGAATGACAAATCAGATGTTTACACTTTATTCAACTATGATTTTATTATTAATTGTCCAAAATCAGAAAAAAAGGGTATGGTCACTTCTGTGATGTTTAGTTACTTTTTACTTCTTTCTGCATTTTAATATTACTATCTTAAGGCAGTTTCAAATTATTTCATCAATCTTGGTCTTTGCTTTTAATTTATGCAGTGGGATTTACTTGTGCATTGGTGTGAGTAATTTTCAATATCTTGCCAAACAGCCTGTGGCAAGTGAAAATACAACTTGCATATATTAGACTTTTCTGTTTGAGCACAGTGCAACCAAAACGAATTATGCTGAAATCCCAGCTCCATTGAATGGCAAGTACTTACATATGTAATTCAAAGATACTTTCGCCCCCGTAATTTGGAAATCAAATTTAACCAACATCCTGGGGAAGCAAGTAACAAGACAAAGCATATCTTACGGGCTATAATCATTTTCAATTTCACTTTATTGTCACTTATGCCATTTTATCTCCCCAATATGATTAAATGCTTTATATATCATTCAGTCCATCTTGTTCCAGAATGTGCATATATTAGGTCGATCAATATTTGTAGATCAACATTATTATTCATACGTACTCGTACTCTCGAATAAAATTCCTTTCAGTTTCAAAGAATAATGTAAAAATTCTCCAGGGACTCAGAACCTCCATGGTGGCCAAATGCTAATTGCCTGCTGACCTGGAGACCCCCGGGAGCCTAGGAGAGGGAACATTCTCTGGCGCCCACAGACTAGTGAACCTCAGCTAAGAGCAGCGCCCCCTAGTGCTCCCGGGCAGCTCCAGGGCAGCCACACCTGGGACGGGGTGATGTTTGGCTTGGCTTGTCGGTGCCCAGGGCAGCCAATGCGTTCCCTTGACTGTTCCATCTCGTTGGGCCACCAGGATGCAGCAGGGGGCTAAAGAAGCCCAGAAGTTCACCTTGCAGGAGTTAGACGTTTTGAGAGATCCAAGTGGAGGCCTGGACCATAGATCCACTTTGCAAATCTCCCCCCCATAGTGGCACAAACCCAGACTTTCTTTAGTCCTTTGTTTTGGAACCCTATCTCCTGCACACCTGTTCCCGCTCATTCTGCAAATGAACGGTGCCCGCTCATTCTGCAAATCGGATCATCAGCATGTCGTTATGAAAATGTGTGACTGGGCTCGAACTCACTGGCATTATCCCAAGGAAGTTCAACACTCCATTGTCTTGGACAGGAGTGAACAACTGCTTCAGTTCTTTAAATATAATTTCCAACTGCAATAAAATCGGCGTGGTTCTAACACATGGCTCTGACATCTTTAGATCTGCTGATAGCAACGATGTAGAGCTCCAATTTTTCTTAAAAATAGGAAATAATTTTATGGGGAACTTGATGCACCTTTACTATTGAAACCCCTTCTAATCTTTTTCTACTTTATTTTTAACATACAGGTAATGCAAAAAAGTTGACTATTTTACTAAGCCCCAGCGAGGCTTGTTGTTTCTTTGACTTGACCCTTGACAACCGGGAGGGTGGCACCTTCCATTGAGGGTTTTCAGGGATCACAGGCGCTCCAGGGTCTCCACCCCAGGGCCTCTGCGCTGTGCGCCACGCAGCTCACTCAGCCCCAGAGAACTCGGATCCTTCAGCTGCAAAATACTCCAAGGGCCGTCACCGCGCTCCTTCGGTGGCACAGCGAGCACCGTGCGCCACGCGCTGGACTGGAGAAGGCCCCCCTCGGGCTGCGTCCTCCGGGCCAGGCGCTGCGCGCACAGCAGCGCCCCGCGCGCCCTCCTCCAACAAGTTTTCTCTCATTTAAGACCGCGGAGCCCGCCTCTGCCCACTGCGCCGAAGGCCCCCGGCTGGCGCGGAGCAACCGCTCCCTCCCCGCGCCCGGGGTGCCGGCCCCGCTGCCCGCTCCCGCGCCACGCCGGGCGCCCAGGGCGCAGCGGGGAGACCCGGCCAGGGCCGCCAGCCTTCCCCGCAGGCGCCCCGGCCCAGACCTCGGGTCTGCCGCCCGAGGAGGCGGGCGGGGGCGCCCTGGACGTCGCCCGCTCGCCCCGCAGGTCCCGCGCCGCGGCGCTGGGCACGGGCGGAACCCGCCGGGCGCGCCGGCCCTCGGGGCGGGAGCAGCAGCACCTGGGGCCGCCCGGCCGCCCCCCTCCCCCGCCCGTGCCGCGGGTGTTTATCTCCGCCTCGGCTCCTCGCTTTTTGCTCTTTCACTTTCCTTTTCGCTGGGGGTTGGGCACCCCGGGATCCGGGCGGCCAGGGAACCCCAGCTGACTCGCGGCGGCCGGAGCCGCACGCCCGGGAGGGGAGCCCGGGGCTGCACCCGCGGCCGCGCGGCCCGCGCCCCCCACCACCCTGCAGCCGGCCCGGCCCGGCTCGGGGCGGGGAGGTGGTGGTGGGGTGAAAGGGCCGGGGAAGTTTCCCGAGCGCCTACGCCCCGGCCCCTCCCTGCTGGGCTGGACCCACCCGTCTCGCGGCCGCCGCCCCGCCCCTCCTATGGTCTTGACCGCGACACCGCTGGCCGCGGGCTGCAGGTCTCCCCCGGCCGACCCCGCGCTGCCCGCCGCGTCCGCGCCAACCTCGGCGTCCAGAGGCGCGCGGAGAGCCGGTGCCCCCGCGGGTGCCGCGCCGCTCCCCCTGCGCCCGCAGCTGCCCGGGCGCCCCGCTCCGGCGGGAGGTGGCGCTGGGCGCTGCTCGGCCGACGCCGCGGCTGGCCAGGGGCGCGCGGCTGCCCGCACCGAGCTGCCTTTTGCCGGGAAGACGCGGTCTTGGCGCACCGTGCTGAGTCCTGCAGCCAGCCCAGCTCAGAAAGTTCAAGAAAGGTACCGCAGCTCTTCGCTTCTCTCGCTCCCTGCTAGCCGGCGCAGACGCGTGCGCGCGAGCCCGTGCATCTGTGCGTCTGTGCATCTGTCTCTGTCCGTGTTTGCAAAATCAGATTCTCCCCTGCTCTGATCAGGACACCTGTCTTCCTCGGGAGAGGGACTGGCAGGAAAGGGCACTGGCAATAGGGCCTGGGGCTCTAATATTAGCTCCAGCTCTGGACGAGGGGCAACTTCTCTCTTAGAAAAACCACCTTAGAAACTGGAAAGAAATGCAGAAGACTTGGAGTGACCACAGTGACTTCCTAGAGGTGACTTTCCATGAAAATCCAGTTACTTTTTCACGGGTTGAGACTGCATGGTGCAAAACATAGGTGCTGAGACTTGTGAATGATACAGCTTGGATTCTGTAATTCCGTGCATTTAAGATTTTGTTAATTCAAAACACGAGTAAAGCGAGATTATTCTGAAATCACGCTTTCAACAGTCTTTCAAAGGGTGAGTCAGGAGTTTCGAAACTGGAAGAAAAGTGATTGTTACTGGCAATGTTCCATCATGTTGGTTAAAGCTACTTTCTAATGTGATGACGCTGGAAATGGCATCTCCCGAGAGAAAGGAGCGATCGTGCTGGTTGGGATCTTCTAGGCATCTGCATCTCGTCTGTGTTAAGAGGGCTTTTTGGCTTAGCTGAATAAACAGATCAGATCTGAATGGTTAAGTTGACCTGCTGTTCAGCCGCTGCACAGTAAACTATTGAAAACATCCATTAATCAAAATGTTCCCAAACTCCTGCGGTTTTATGAACAAGCCATGTGGTGGGTGTGGTCGTGGGCAGAGGTTCAAAGAATATGAAAGGAAAGGACTGAAGTCAAAGTAGTAGCCATTTGGACTTAAAAAGTAGTAAAAAAAATGTTTATACTTTGCATGCAGTGAAGTTGCAGAAAGTACTGAAGGTTTATGGTGGTGTTTCCGCGGCTTGTCAATTTTCCTCCGTCTGTGTTTTCCTTGTAAAGCTCCACTCACGCTGGGGATGGCCTTCCCTGCAGCCTGAACACCTCCAGGCAGTCTGCCCAGACTTTTGCTTTCATTGCTCTCTGCTGCTTTTGAGACTGCACCATGCAGTCTCAACCCTTGAAAAAGTAACTGGATTTTCATGGAAAGTCACCTCTAGGAAGTCACTGTGGTCACTCCAAGTCTTCTGCATTTCTTTCCAGTTTCTAAGGTGGTTTTTCTAAGAGAGAAGTTGCCCCTCGTCCAGAGCTGGAGCTAATAGTAGAGCCCCAGGCCCTATTGCCAGTGCCCTTTCCTGCCAGTCCCTCTCCCGAGGAAGACAGGTGTCCTGATCAGATCAGAGTGAACTTAGCTATCATGCTGGTTGGGATTTTCTTGCAGATTACTGCATGGTTTAAGAAAGGCATTCGATGCTTTTGCTTTAATCCATGAAATTTAGAAATGTCAGCAGCAAGGTGGCAAGACAAGGTTTGCCAATGAAAAATCGATTTACAAACTTTTTTGGAGGATAGAGGGAAACGCTGGTTTAAAGAGTTTTGAAATAGAGTTTGATAACTGAAGGATTTCAAACCCTGGAAGTTTCTCCATCTCAGGTTTGCTGGTTCTGGTTGAACTTCAGTAAAACATGAACAGGGGCCTGAAATGTGACCTATAAGTGAATTTTTCCAAGACTAAATATCCATTAGCCAAATCGGCTTTTTAAATGGATCTCGGCCCCAAAACAGTTTTGAAAAACTTCTGAAAACTTAGAGCACTGCCCTTGTCTTCCCCTGACCCCTAGAGTTTACTGTTAAGTGTTGTTCATTATGTAACTATTCTTCTGAAGGTTAGCAGTGACTTCTGTCTCCAGGTCTTCCCATTACAGTATATAATAGTATAGCTGACATCTGCTGAGTTCTAGTTCTACACTGGGTATTGTTCCATGCACATATATGTTTTTAAAGTTCATCATAATAAACTTTTGTGGTGATAGGGCACTACGTGATCTAACCGAGGGACCGGAACCATGGAGTAATTAATAACATTCCCAAAAGTTAGAGAGTTAGAATGAGGTAGAACTGGGATTTCAACCCACACAGATTTGAGATCACTGGTGTTTATGAAGGATGTTATGCCCAAGGAATTATTTCCCAGAAGCTGACAGTAACATCAACCACTATTTTATTTTGATGGGTATTGTAATGATAGAATGCTGGTTTAAAATTACACTTATATAGCATTTGTACAGGTGACATCACTAATGATATAATTAATGATTGTCTTTGTGATCAAATAATACTCATGGGTACCTATATGTCTTGGGTTCCTTGGAGAAATTTCTTTCATGGTTTCTGCATGAAAACATGTGTCCAATTTGCACCACCTTTGCCTCATCAAGCCTGGCAGATAGTAGGCAAATGTGGATTGCTCTGTATGTCTGTCTGTCTCCTACTTTTCTGTTCACCAGCCCAAGTATAAGGCTGGGATTCACAGCGAGATCCCAGAAGAAGCCTTTTCCACTATAGCACAACCGAGGTGCTGTTGGGAAGTCCCATTTTTGGAAGGCTTTATGGTGTGGGGGTTGGCAAGAAGTCAACTTTGTTCTTTAACTCAATATTAGCTCACAAATTAACTGGCAGATTCCTGCATAAGCTCACTGGGGTTGAATAAATTCTCAATGCTTGTTGCCATTCTGTTTGCCTGGATGAATGACGAAAGTATATTGGGGACTAGAGAGAACATTTCTAGCCCTGGCCTATGTACACAGCTAAGTATTTAAGAGTGAACTTTACTAATTTACCTTCAACACGTGTGACTGTGCATATGTGTATACGTGTATATATTGCTATGCTTTATGTCAAAGAATTGTATCTGCTTTTAATAGTTTCGCAGTGTTGGAATCAGAAATAGAAAATAAGAGGTTCTTTGATCTCAATTCAATTCAGTAGTATCCTGTGTGCACCTTTTATATCTGGAAGCAGGGTGAGAGAATGCACCTAGTTCCTATTTCCCAGGGTTTTATCCCACTGAGTGTCTAGTGGTGTCTTGTGGGTGACTCCGAGGAGCGCAGAGGACCACAGCGAGGCCATAAGCAAATGGCTAAAAAGTCAGAATTCCTGTTAGCCGATCACGTTCTAACATTCCCTAGTTGTTTCTTCTTCCAATGCTAAGATTCCCCTAAGAGCTGAGAGGCTGCCGAAAAGTCAGGAGAGTGACAAAGTAATTTTTCAAATAGAAGAACTGAAACTGATAGTAGAAAAGGAAAACGCCAGAGCTGTGAGGTTGGTGGGGAAACCGTTGCTTATCCCGGCGACTTCTGCAGCCCCACTGGCCACACCAATTCTCCTCCCTGGGCAGCTTCTCATCTGCGGTTCTAACAGGAATTGGAGGAACCACTGCCCAGCATCATGTTAGCACTGACTTCTAAAAGCTTCAGATCTTTAGTTTTAGTGGAGCATCTTTGAGTTAGAAATTTTGCAACGTATGTTTCCAACTTCTTTTTTTTTTTTTATTTTTTATTTTATTTTTTTTTTTAAATTTTTTTTTTTTTTTTTTTTAATAGAGGCATGCTTTATTTATTTATTTATTTGTTTGTTTGTTTTGTTTATACATGCACTGGGTACAGTCAGAAGCGCGGGAGGGTGAGAGAATTCACCAGAGCCAGAGCGGGGAGCAGAGCAGGCAGAAGGACCGAAGTACACTGCTGAGGGGAGCAGCGGGCGGCAGGAGAGGTCTGCGCGCCATGTGGGACCCTCCTCCAGTGGCCGGGGAGCAGCCGGGGATCGAACCGGCGCCACAGAGGCTGCGGGCAGCTTCGCAACCCAGTGCTCAACCGCTGCGCCACCGGGGAGGCCCTATGTTTCCAACTTCTTGACTCTCCTGAGTCTTCAATAATAAAGATAAGTATGTAAATTGAAAATTTTCAATAAACAATTTTATTGTTAAAATCATTCTTTATGTTATCTTCCATGCTATTGGTTCACAGTCAACCAAAGCATCCCATTAATTTACGATAAGTAATCATTATGCATCAAGCTAAACTCTTGAAAATGCATAGGGTCGAAGTAGATAAGGCTAGTGTTTGTGTCAATACTTTGATGGAAGAAGATTCCTCTAATATCAGTTTTTTTTTAAATTTCCCTGCCCTTAACACTCCGGACCGGCAAGGTGCATGTTGAGATTAAACATGATGAGGGAGGACAGGTCTTTCTGCAAAGTGGGATGAAGAGGAAGTGGGAAAGGAAACTTGCTAAAAACCGGCTTGCTTCTGGCTTATTGCTTATGAAATGGGGTTCCTATGTAAGTCGTGGCTCTAGAAGCTTGTGTTTAGAACTCTCTACACTGAAAACAAACTTGGAAAGTCACGGGGGGTTCCCAGGGGTACCTGATCTTTGTTTGAAGATCTCTCATTGACTTCAACCTTATCTCCTCTTACTTACCCTTGGTTTTCTGAGTTACTGTGCCTCACTGGACTTAAAACAAAGTGGGGATGGGGCGTCTGGCTGCTGGGGGCTTCCCCCCGAGAGCATGCCAGTGGCTTGGATGCTTCTGCAGTCCCATCTGCTCCTCCAGCCGCAGCTCCAGTCACATTTCTGTGCTCTCAATGCATGTGTGAGCCTCGTCAAGTGTGTCCCTGTCACTCCCTGCCCGCCTTCCTGCATTCTGCTCCAAACGCCCACCCTCCCATACTTTGCTGCCCCCTCCTGCTGCCCAGGCAGAATTATCTTCTCCCTTATATGAACGGATTTGGCGCTGGTTACTGCATTCCCTGCTGATAGTGCTTATCTCTGCAAGTTCATGTTGCTGGGTGTCTGTCTCTACAGTTAAGTTTAAAATAAGGAGAGGGATCCCCGCAGAGCCTCGACACACCATTGACGGGTTCTGACTTTGATCCGTCAGGTCATTCAAAGTTTGACAGCTAAGCAGAGGAATGTAAGACAGGTAAGAAACTAAGTGATACAGCAGAAAAAATGTTGGGATCTGATAATATTTTATAATATAGTTGTTTATAG